TATCATCCACACCATACTTCGCGAAATCACCAAAACCATAGCACAAAATAACTCTATCAAGGCTGTTTAAGCCACAATAAATCCTCTCTTTTCCCTCAAAAAAAAAAAAAAAAAAAAAAAAAATTGATCTTTGGCACCCCTCATTTTTTCAGCTTGCCCTTGATCTCTCTCATTCCTGGTCCAAAGTGGAATGGCGTGCTGTCAATTTGTTTTCTTCTTGCAAATCGATTGATTTGTTTCTTCGATGATCCTCTCAAGTATATAAGAAGTCGCTCCTACCCAGCGTTCTGCACCGAGACACATCTGATCCTACCTCAAGAGTATAGACTCGCAACACCACTCACCGCCCTTGCAACAACTACAGCAAGAACCATCGCAAGCATCGTTGCAAGAGCCGCCACATGAACGATCTCCTTTGCAAGAACGCCACAGACCCCTATCAGAAACGCTTACGGGAACGCTCACAAGAAGATCTGCACAACCCCTTCCCGCACACACACCTGCACATCCTTGAACAAACTCTTGTAAGGCAATACGATAGGACTTTCAGCAGTATACTTAAGGGTAGAAGTGTTTTCATAGCTAACCTATTTCTTTATCTCCAGTAGACCACCGACACACACCCGATCCTACATCAAGCCTCGCAGCAGCACTTACAACGTCCGACTTTAATAATTGCTGTTCAATGAGACTAGCGGCTATTGCATCATTTGCGCTTGCTTTTGTGCATATTGTTGCTGCGCAAGACCAGGATTGTCTAGCTGACTATATTGTTACCAGATGCTTAAGCAGTGAAACAGCTAAGGTTCAAGACTGTCGCCCTAACGATTACGATTGTCTTTGCGCTGCATACGAGGCCGTAGCTACATGTTATAATAACTGCCCCAACGACTCCAGGGCTCCCGATGCACAAAACCAGGGTACTAATTTCTGTCAAAACGCCGCATTATATGGGACTAAAGGGGAATCTTGAATAAATTTGGCACTATTGTTTGGCTACAGCCAACCTTTATGCTATGACACGGAAAAAAAGTCTTCAATTAGGCCCCTTCTTATTATGTCAGATAATGCTGTGATCAACGACCCCTTACAGATCCCCTTCCCTTCTCCTTTGCCTGAACTATATACTTTCTTTGGCGCGCCTAACTCTCTCTGTCCTCCTTCTCACTTACTCTATTGTTTTCCACAGTTCACACTTCTCACCTTCTTCTCCCTTAACGCCCTCCACTCTTCACTCTCTCTTGGCACCCTTTAAACACCATTTCACCCACTCTCCTATTAAGAAAGCTGCAAGATTGAAAGAAAGGAAAAAAAGATGTGGCGTAATCACAATTGATTATATCAACAAAGGGAAGTACACTCCCAGCTCGCTTTGGGAGCCCCTTAAATATTCAAAATAAAGGGCCAGCTGTTGTTACTTAGGACATTGATAAATGAGCATTTCAAAAAAAACGTCAAATCGCGTTTTGGTTGATCAATTGATTGGAGCACTTTAGTTAGCGCGTTTCGGAGACCGAAGAGATGGTAGATGTTGCGTAGGACACTAGTGTCGCGTCGAGGAAAAGTCCTACTCCACCCAAGCAAGGGCTCTTCGATCACGTGACATTACGACATTCTCTATTTTTCGCATTCCTCATCCCTCAAATGCGGTCCCTTGATGCTCTTTTTGACATTACCCCTTGACGTTGTCCCTTGATTTTTATGTTGTCCCTTGTGTTGTCTCTTGATTCTTTGATTTTTTTCCAGCATCCCTTCCTTTTTTTTTTCTTTTCGGCACCCTTGATCCTTCCCAGTATCCCTTGATCTTTTCCTGTATCCCCTGATCTTTTTCGAGTATCCGAATTTGTACGAATTTGTGTCTCTCTCTCTTGTATTCCCTTGATACGGCCTCTTAATCTTGTCCCTTGATGCTGTCCCTTGATTTTTATGCATTGATATTGTCTCTTGATGCTGTCCCTAGATGTTTTCATCCCTCAATCTTTTCTCAGCATCCCTCAATCTTTTTCCTCATCCCTTGGTCTTTCCCTTTATCCCTTGGTCTTTCCCTCGTCCCTTGATCTTTTCAACCCCTAGGTGTTTACGGTCTCAAGATTTTTCGACTCCCTTTGCGCTTTTCGGCCCCTTGCTCTTTAGCTACTAGTGGGTGCACCATCCAATGCTTACTGGACTCTGCTTCGGTATGATAGGAAGAGCCGACATCGAAGGATCAAAAAGCAACGTCGCTATGAACGCTTGGCTACCGCAGGCCAGTTATCCCATCCCTTGACATTTCCATTTCCCCCCATCCTTGATCCTCTCACTTCCCTCATCCCTTGATCTTCCGTTTCCCTCATCCTTTTATCTTTTCCAGCATCTTTCATCCGTTCCCTGAACTATATTTTTGTTGAAGAGTAATGCAAATGGTAGAATTGAGAGCGAATTATGGGATGATGAAATTTCTGTTTAGTCGGTGGGACAGACCCTTTAATCGCTTTCTCTTTGTTCCACTATCTAGGTTATTTTCTTTGTTCCACCTAGACTTTTTGTCCATTTGCTTTAAAGTAGGTCATCGTGATGCTAACATCGTCTAACCTCTTCTTACCGACCACTTGATCATGGACCGTACACATCAAGTGCTCCAGTCGGGTTCTCTTGCTCTTTGTATTCGTTTTCTTTATCCAATCTCTTGCCTTTCTACCATTTTTTCAATCCCTTAATCCATTCACTCTCCACCCTTTCCTTTGCATGCTTTTTGTATTTTCCTGCTCCTCCTCTTGTCAGCACTCCCCTAATCCTTTGGCATCCCTCCTCTTTTTTCTCTCTCTTGCATCCCTTGATCTTTTCGGTATCCCTCCTATCCCAGAGTGCCCTTGAACTGTCTCTATCCTTGCCCAAATGGCTATGACTTCATTTGTTGCGGTTCTTTTACAACCCTCTTCACGTATATAAAGAACCCACACCTACCCAACGTCCTGCGACAACACTCATCTGATCCTACCTCAACTGGAGTCACAACAGCATACGCTACGCTCGCCGCAAGTACTGCAAGAAAAGTAGCAAGAGCCATTCCACGAACCCCTCGCAGAACCCTTGCAACGCCGCAGAACCTTATCAAACGTTTACAGCAACGCTCTCAAGAAGACTTGCAGTATCTCGCAAAAATCTTTCACATCCTCCATAGTCTGACTGGGTCACCTCGCAAAGTAAGGCACTGTGACTACTCTTCGCGATATTATTGGCATAAGGATCTGCTTGCTTATCATCTCTCTCAACAAACACTCCTACATCCAAAAGCAACCCACGTACTCGTCTTCACTAGGGATACAAATCCACATGCTTTCTCAAATTTGCCTTCGCCAGATCGTCCTCACGCTGGCCTTTCTCTTGTTAGCTACAGTGGCTAATGCTTCATGTCTTCCAGCAAACTGTGTCGCCAGTGGTTGTTGTTCTGGCAATTGTCCTTACTGGTGTAGACAATGTAGAATTGATTTCCGCTGTTAACACTGTACCCATTCCCATCTCCCACGCCAATATAAGTCTTTAATCATCTCTTCCTTTATAAAAGATACTGTATATGATTCTGAGAGATCCTATGCTGGAAGCATGACTTACATGGAGTTAGTGCGTATTTTTTAATTATTGAAGAGCTATCATGTTGCTGCAACGGCTGTTCTGCAGTATGTACGAACAACTTTGAGCAGAGTGTAACAGGATTGTAGATTGCCTCCTGCTTTTGGCTGCCTTGTTCCTTACTTCCTTGTTAATATCTTGTGTGTCTGTCTTACACACTACCCCTGCTTATTATTACCTCACCATCATCCCTCATATCATAGACGTATAAATACCCTGTCCCTCCTGTACAATAAACCTCATTCCTTCTTGCCCTTTCCTCTTGTCCCTACACCCTCTTGTCTCTTTCCCTTGCTATTATCCTTGCCTCTTGCCTTCCTTCCTTGTCATCACCCTTGCCTCTTCTCTCTTGCTCTGCTCCTATTACACAGAGTGTGAAAAATAAATTCTTTCACCCCGTTCTCGTTACTTTGTGACTCCATTTTTTATTTAGACTTTACACAACCACCTAAACTTTTTACCACTAGATGCGATAGACCCAAGTTGCTCACTTAGTCATTGCAACAGGCGAAGACTGGGACAGAGAAGTATAGAACGGGGACGAGAGTTGAAGCAGTGATGATTGATATTATTACTATGGTACAACTAAATATATATACAAAGTCGCAAACTAGGTTTCTAGGTGTAGTGTCATACGGAGTCAGAGATGATAGAGAGTGACATGAAATGACTAACTAGAGCGCAATGATAAACCTAATATGTTGCAGTCATACTCAACTAAAATTCGAAAAGCGGTAATCGTCGCGTTCTAGCACGGATTCTGACTTAGAGACGTTCAGCCATAATTCAACGGATGATAGCTTCGGGTCATTGCAAAGCTACGGCTCGAGAAGTGAACAAGGGATATATAGGAGAGAAAGGCTAGTGTAATCAAGAATTAAGAGTGTTACTCAGGGGAGAGGGTCGACGGCCAGAGTTGTAGGACCGCTGTTAAGTCCTCAATTGGTACGGGGGGGGGGGGGGGAAGGGGTGTTGTAGGTTGGAGAGGGGGAAAGTGATAATAACGTCCTAAAAAGAATCACACAAAACGATACACTGCAGCGCGCCAGCAAAACTCTTGTCAATACTGCTCTCGTCCAAGAAGTGATGTGTAAAAGGACAAAGAGCAGACAAGAGGGCTCGGCGCACTACTAATACTATGTCTACTAAAGAATATGACTGCTAACCTAAGGCATCGCCGCCACTGCCTAGCCACCACATCTTTTTGTAACAGTGAGCACGCCCACGCGATCGACGCCCTTGTAACTCTGGAACTATTAATAGCAATTGATAAACCTCAATTCTTGTCTCCACTCAACACCCAGTGCCCTTATTGCAAGGAACATTGGTTTTAACCAATAGATTTATAAATCGTTAAAACATCGTTTCATAATTCTACGGTGAGGATTGTATCAAAGCTTCAAATGGTCGATCATGACGCGGAAGGCAGATTCCTGGCGGACCCAAGCCCAGTCCTCAATCCAGGCACGCTTGATGAACTCGGCGCCGATCAGAGTGATTTCTTTTGTCTTGGCGTCGTGGCCATCGTCTTCTTTGAACCAACCCGTGTAGGGTGTCCATGACATCAGGTGGCCTCCGCAGTGAATGACAGCGGTCTTGAGATCCGTGGTCGTCAACCGGTCGCCATAGATCTTGCAATATGTCTCGAGGAAGGAGGTCATTAGCTCTTCGCATGGGTGGCGGTACTTATTGAGCGAAAAGGCCTCGGCTATGAACTGGCCAAGATCCATCGCTGCAGGTGCGTACCGGCTCATCTCCCAGTCCACAATATACATGCGCTTGATTGTGATCTCATTTCCTTCTCCTGTTGCAGTGTCGACGAGGAAGTTGCCTGGCCAGAAATCACCGTGGGCAAGTGTTTCAGGTTCGTTCATCAGTCGATCGCCGCCCCACTTGGACGCCAGGTCGATCACATCCCGGTCGAACTGCGGCTGATCCTCCATGTACTTGCTCGCTGCCTTCGGGAACCGATCATAGAGAATCAGACGCGACAGGCCAAGAGCCTCAGTATTGGCCATCTTTTCCGGGTAGAGCTCCGAGCGATGGCGAAAACCGTAGAGATGCAGACGCGCAATGAACTCGCCGAGCGAACTGCCAATCTCCTTGGCCAGCCTCGGGTTCGGTGGCTGGGCGTGAGACGAGATGAACTCCTTGAGGTGCGTCGATTTTATACCGGCATCCTCCTGGATCACAATGTTGTTCTCATGGTCCCAGTAGAGCACGCGTGGCACCTTGACGTTGGCTGTCTCAATGTTCTCGTCTTCCTTGTCGTTGTTGTTCTTGTTGTCGCTTGCTTCGGCCACAACGCCGAGGGCGGTCTGCTCAAAAGCCATTCGGTCGCCATAGAGTGCCATCTGCCTGTTCGAAGCCGAATGATCGGCCGCGTGCTTAATGACGACCGTGGATCGACCTCCAAACAGATCCGTGCAGGGTTCGGCGATGGTGCCGCGGTAGACATAGTTGGCATTTCCACCGGACAGCTTCTTGACTGCGACAATGCTCCGCGTCTTGTCGCGAGACTGCAGGTAATGCAGTATACCGGCTTCTGTTTCAAAGTCCATCATTTGGAATGAATGAAGAGAGAGAGGGTAAATGGCGAGAAGTGAATGTGAGAATGAGTGCGAGGGGGAGGAAAGGCTAGTCGCTACAATGGAGGGAGAGCGGGAGTGGTAAAAGAAAACGAGGGAGAAGGGGAGAAGGAGTGCCTCTTCCCAGCTGACACTGGATACGAAGATTATCCAACTGCTCACATGCCGTTCGGAACTCCAGCAGTGTAGCTCCATCAGCTCCACAGCCCGCAGTATTCTCAAACTAGTAACGTCACCCTTGTTTATTTCCTTGCAGTATAGGAAATAACATTATTTCCCACGCTCTTTTCTTTGTTTCTAACTACTTTCTTTATCACCTACCATTCCCACACCTTTTTCGCCCTTGCCAACTCCCTTTACCACCACCCTTCACGCCACTTCCCTTCTCTGTCTCTACCACGCGCACTCTTCCCACATCTCTTTGTTATGCCACTGTCCCCACTCTTTTCTTGTTGTCTTTCCCCTTTTTTTGCCATCTTTTTTTTTTTCTTTTCGCCTCCCTTGTCGTTGCCACCGCTCCCACGCTCTCTCTTCCCACACTACTTTTTTTTTCACCATCGCTTTGCCATCGTTCCCACGCTCTCTTTTCGACTTTGCTCTCCGTTTATTTCTCACCACCGCCTTTCTTTTGCCACCATTTCCCACCTTCATCGCCTTTGCCATCACCCACGCCCTTTTCCCCTTTTTACTCTTCCTTTTAAACCCACACCTTCATCTTTTTCTCTTTTCTTCCTTTCATCCTTCGCCCTCTGCACACATCACCTTCTCTACAACCCTCATTTTCTTTTCTTTTAATTCTTCGCATTATGCCATTCTCCGTCGACATCGATGCATCAAAAACTGTTATCACCTCAAAGACGCAATCAAGACCAAGATTCCTGACACGTTCAAGGGAGTTGATGCCAAGGACCTCGGGCTCTGGCGCGTCTCCATCCCTCTCGTTCCAAAGAAGGATCGCAAAGACATTTCGCTGAGCGAAGTTCCCTTGAAGGAAGAGCTCGATGAAACAGACGATCTCTCTGACGTGTTTCCGGACAAGCTGCCCAAGAAAACGATCCACGTCATCATCCAGCGACCTCCTTCAGGTAATGCTTTTTTTTTTAAAAATTGAACCTTCCCGTAGGAAGGCTCAGTAAGGAGAGAACAGTCCCAGTGGTGCAACAAGCCACCAGGAGTTTTTTATTTCTGAAGACGGTACTTGAGAAAGAAATGTGTAGGGGGCAGCGGCAAGACTCTGAATTTGAGGGAAGACTTTGTGCTGTAGAAAAGAGAGGAGCCCTCAACTCCTTGAGTGTCAGATGATGAGATCATGCGCCAAGCCAAACCAAACGCTCTCGTAGGACTCGAACCCAGGACCTCAAGATTGTGAGAGGGACGCTTTACTACTACGCCAAACGGGATCCCAAGCCCCCTTCAGGTAATGCACACACACGTTTATTGCTTTTCGTGACATGCTGTTGGAATGAATTGGGCTAATATTCAATTCTAATGCTGTCTCATTGTGCAGACCTCGTGTCGGAGTTTGACTTCGTGCAGTGTGTGCCTAGCGCTATACGTGGTGAAGATCAAGATGAGGGTCCGGGTGTGAGCTCTCACAGCTCGATCTCGGTAAAACCTCAGTCGGTTCAGTCCTGGGCAAACTTCTTGCCCAGTGTTGGCGGCATGGTACTGGAGCGAGTCCCGCAATATCAACGTCCACGGTTCGGAGGACAGGACTTTTATACCGGAAACAACACTCCAGGATTTGTTCTCGTATGACTTTGGATCAACACGAATCTTGCCTCCTCATGCAACCACTATCAGAAACATGGGACTTCCACGCGGCAGCCCTGATCTGGTGTGTCGGAAGGCAGGACGCAATGCCAACGTTGCAGGGGCAGTTCTCTTCCCCATCAAGATCAAAAGACCAGTCCTTTTGCAGTCGCCAAATTTGGCGGAAGACTACAGGGAGCAGGAGCGGTCTGGCGTAGCAAGAGGTCCAGCGCGCGCCGTCAAACAAGCTTTTGGCTACATGCGCCTTAATGGCTATTCATACGGCGTGCTATCGACCTATGAGCAGACATGGTTTCTGCTGCGGGAAGGGATGAACCTCATGGTTTCACCTACCATCGCCTTCAACCAGACGGAGCCCTCTTTCCTACAGTGTTACATGTGGTTTATAAGGCAGGCGAATGCTGACCAACGGCCCTTGGACCCTTCGAGTGATCAGGAGGTGGAAAACATTCTCGAGGATGAACGTCAGCACCGCGAGCGAGGACAAAAGGACAGTCCGTACAGATCAAAGATGAGGCGACTCAAGGACAACATATCATTGTAAGTTGATACATGCTAAGGGACAATTGGATGGTGTTTCAAGTCAACTCTTAATAGCGCCTTTCTTGAACTCGACCTAGACTTACTCGTCGAAGGACGCGATTACAATCCAGGAATACCACTCGAGTGGTTGTGCCCACATTCGATTGCTTGGAACTGATCTCGCACAACGAGTACGCATAAACCTACAAATCATCATGGCAAGGCTGTGAGGTTGTTGTGAAGAAATGTGACATATGGAATGAACGGCCAGTGATGGAGGAACTGAGGCATGAGGCAATGATTTACCAGGTTTTACGGAGTCTTCAAGGGCTATGCATTCCCAGGCTGAGGATTGCTGGAATAGCGGATGGCATGGAGATGCTGTTGGTGACTGACTTTGCGGGGACCAACATCTGCCAGGAACGTTTAGAGGAATCTGACCAGGTGAAGATACGGGCAGCACTGTCTGCTATCCATGATCTGGGAGTTGTTCATGGCGATATCTTGCCACAGAACATTGTGGTGCAACGCAATGGTTCCAACACTCGGTTCTGCTTCGTGGACTTTGGATGATCATGGATTGCCACGGACCATACCGACTTCCAACAGGATACAATTGCCCTGGAGAGATTACTGCAACATATGGCTGCGTAAAATGACGAGCTTGAAAAAAGCCGGCTCCCACAACCAATAGCCTACATCTAGTCTCTTCCTTTGCTATTCTATTTGCACTCAAAAAGAAAGACTGTACTCCTGTTTTCCTCCTTTAGCGTATCATACCGACGATTGTTAATATGATGGTATTGTTCACATTGTTTGTACTGAAAGACGGGTATCGACTATTCCTATTCTCCTCCATCGCCTCAGTGACGTTTTGCAACGTAGCTTTGATGATCCTCAGAAAGAGTAACTCCATCAGCCATGCGTATCAGAGACTAGTAGCAAGCGCAAGGAAAGGAAAGGACAGGACACTTTACGAATTCAAGAAGCAGTAAATGTTTATACTATTATTCTTGTCTATCTGCATGTCCTTTGCCCTTGGCTCCGCATCAGATGCTCATTAGATGCTGCAGCAGATCTGATGGAGCAAAAGAAAGAGTGACGCGAGGGAAGAAACTTTCTGATTGTCAGAGTTTCACTCTGATATGGCGATTTTTCACGTACACGGCACACGGAAAAGGTTTTGTAAAACATCCAACTCTCTGTCAACGAACTGTGTACCATTCGAGTTAATATATACGATCCGAATTTGCAAGAGAGATCAATATAAATAGGCACCAAGCAAGATGCGATTTTTTAAAAACTAGTCTCTTATCTGCATATTGCCTACGACGATTTCCATGTCGACATCTACGACCTCACCCACTGCAGCAGCAACTGTCTCATCCTCATCCTCGTGCTCCTCATACTCCAGCTCCTCTGATCGGGCTATCGCTGCGTCAGCATCATCAGGGGTCCATACCTGTAAGTCCTGCTCCTTGGAAGACGACTCTGGTATCCACTCTTCAATATCCTTGTTTTTTTTAGCTGTTCGTCGTTGTTTAGGATTTGGCGGCTTCCATCCCGCAGGCCTGAGGCCAATGGCGCCGTCGTAGCCAATATCAGGGACGATAAACTTCTTGGATGTTTGGAGAAGACCAGGTTCTCAAAGTACGGCAGCATGCGCTCAGCATTCACTGTGTAGTCGCCGTCATAATGTATATCGCAGTAGAACTTGGCTCAAGGAAAAAAGGAACAAGAGTATTAGAAATTGATGCATAAAAATAAGGCATATCTCACTACAAATTGTGAAATACAAACGCAATGAAGTACTAACCTGCCAGGTTAAGAGCTTAACTTTATGTTGCCTGACGGTCAACTCCTGGATATCACTATCCTTCCGCGCCAGAAGGTCATAGAGGACCTTGTTGGATGAGGATCTGATGGCCTATGAATACTTTTCTTCTGTCATTCCAGGAGGGATCGTTGGATAGGCCCGGCTCTGGTCTTTCTGGTGCATTGGAAGTCGACGGACTGTAGATCCATTCGGCCCGTGGTACCGCTATACCTTCTTCTTGGCCGACTTCTTGACAGTGTCAGGGTCCGAGTCGTCTGTGTCTGCAGAGTCCACTGACTTCCTGCTCATCGCTTTTGGCCTTTTCTTATTCGCCGCCTTTGAGGTTCGAGGAAGAGGGGAAGCAGAGCCAGTGGCACCAGGGTTGTTACGAAGGACCTTCTCTTGACCCTTGGTTATCGTGGAACTGGCCTTTGGGGCATTGGGGGTCTTGGTCGTAGTGGGCGCCTTGGTGGAGGGGGTGGTATTGTCCGTCTTTGTTCACGTTCTGGTGGCGATCGCAGGGACAGAGGCTTTTTGAGCTGTAGCTTTGACAGAAAGAGTGTTGGTAGTAGGTTGGATTGTTGCTGTGGAGGGTTTGGTCCCAAGAGTGGTGACTTCAGTAGCAGCTGGACCTCGGCGCTGTCCTCGTCTTTTTGGTTCATCAATAGCGACCATCTTTTCCGGTCAGACTTTCGTTTCGGTACGGAGTGGACCTTCGGCGACAGCAGTAGCGTACGAGCGGCGGGTTCGGGGTCCTCTATTGGGCAGCATGGTGGAAGGTAGGTGGTAGTTGAGGGAGTTTCAAGAAGAGAGCGTGGATAGATAGCGCTTAGCGTCAATAAACAATATTGAAAAAGAACAGCAGTGGACAGGTGCATATTTATGTGATTCATACTTTGAGGAATGGAGTGATGGCCAAGCAGATGGAGACCTTGGCGGCCCCTTCATGTGCAAAGGATATAAAAAGGCACATGCAAATATCTAAAGCCCAAGGAATGCAGTATTGACTTCCATAGCTGAAGTATCTCTTCACAGTCGGCAATAGAACATGAAATAAAATAGCCACAGACAGCACATGTTTTTTTAAAATGTAATATCTCCCTTGTATTTCACGACCAAGATACAGTTGAGAGTACAGGTGCTTTAGATGATCACATACAAGAGCTACTCTGCTGAATCTTGCAGTGAGGGGTACAGTTTAATAGTAGATGGAGACATTCACGAAATTGGTGTGCGAAAAATAAGAAGAGTTCGTTGTTTGGAGAATAGGTTGGTGTTTAGTGGGATAGTCACGCAAGGAATATTACAGTGGTTGTTTTACATGCTTAATATTATATATATACTCTCTTCTAATGGTCGCTGTCGATATTGTCAAGACCTGCAGTGATGTAGCAAACACCATACGATAATTTGGACTTGAAAGGCCTCCTTGGAGAGGAGAGGAGTTGGGTGTTGATGTGTTTCTGCTGAGTGTAGATTATAGGTGGGGTTTGAGTGAGGATGGACAAGCTGTAAACGAAAGCGATTGAGGGATGGCAGGCATGCTGGTGGTGAAATGTGTTTCTTCAGGCACAGTAATACAAAAAAGAGTATTTTGGCGATTATGTGCCCAATTCCTCAAGTCCGGCTCTAAGCCACGCAATTGGCCATGGCTGTGTCGTGGTCTCATGTTCAAGCAAGAAATTTTGCTTCATAGTCTGTTATAGACTGTACCTGGTGTGCCTAATAGTACAATCCCTCTCTTTGTCTCATCAGTTACTAGTGTACGTATGTGAAAACCTTAATATATCGCAGGCGCTATCAATGGGTGTGGGGGTCTTGGAGGGAGTTGCCCTTGGTTGGCCGAGTCGTTGGCGTCAGTGCCAGGTTGAACAGGGTCACTCGTCGAGGGAGAGGGAGAAGGGAAAGTGGAGTTTCTTCCCTGTGTACAAAGGAGTATCTTCGGGGTCAGCGGGCATGACTCAGATAGCAGGCAGACGAGGAAAAGGATGTGTGAATATGTATGTGTGGGTGTATGTGTATGTGTGTGTGTGTGTGTGTGTGTGTGTGTGTGTGTGTGTGTGTATGTATGTGCTCCCTCTCAATATCGCGAATAAACACGGTAACACTCAAGACCTGCTCGTATCGTGGAAGAAAGGTGCTTTATGTCAATAACTATTCTCCAAAGACTAGAAACTACTATTGCTACCAATGGTCGAAAGGGCATAGTGCCTACCTGCTCGTATCGTGGAAGAAAGGTGCTTTTCCAGACATTCGCAGCCTGAGTCGCAGGCAAGCGCGTAAAATAGCAAAATGGTGTTACAAAAAGATGTGGTGGCTAGGCAGTGGCAGCGATGCTTTAGGTTAGCAGTCATATTCTTTAGTAGATAGTATTAGTAGTGCGCCGAGCCCTCTTGTCTGCTCTTTGTCCTTTTACACATCACTTCTTGGACGAGAGCAGTATTGACAAGAGTTTCACTGGCGCGCTGCAGTGTATCGTTTCGTGTGATTCTTTTAGGACGCTATTATCACTTCCCCCCCTCCAAACTACAACCCCCCTCCCCCCCCCGTACCAATTGAGGACTTAACAGCGGTCCTACAACTCTGGCCGTCGACCCTCTCCCCTGAGTAACAATGGCTACCAGAAGCTAAGCCACTCCAGACCACCATAGGAGACCATTCAGGTCCAAAATATAGCGTAACATTTCTCTCATCTCTGTCCGTCGCGGTAAGATCAACCATGACCATCAGACAAATAATATCTGTATAATAATTATGTTGACTAACCATTGTAATGTTCCGGGCGTAATAATCCTACCAATCACCGCCAACTTTTCCAAACAGAAATGTACCATAGTTCTTTGAATAGATCTCTCCTGAATGTACATCTCCATCACCAGATCGCATCCTTCGCATCGAAATTAAGGGGAGTAATTCTTGCCGATGTTGCGAAATCAGGGGCTCGATACGGAAGATAGAGTGATTGTTGCACTCTCAGTTGTTGTCTCTGCTTCTTCGAATAAAACACTGAAAATAATGCAGTCAGCTAACGTTGGTCGAATGCTCGAGTTTCTTGGAAAAAGGCCTTTATATTAATTGTGTGTGTACCTGAAAATAATGCAGTCAGCTAACGTTGGTCGGATGCTCGCGTGTCTTGGAAAAAGGCCTTTATATTAATTGTGTGTGTACTTGAAAATAATGCAGTCAGCTAACGTTGGTCGGATGCTCGAGTGTCTTGGAAAAAGGCAAAGAGCAAAAGAACCACCGTGCTACCCTATTTCTACTAGTGCAGCATTTACGTTTGGCTAACTACTGTGAAGTTGAAATTGTGTAAGGGGTCTAGAATTTTGTAACAACGATGATAGTCCAAAACTTGTTCTTACTATGTTGCATCTTTGTGGTGAAACCGAGAGGATGACAACAACTCAGTCGAAATCACTGCCCAAGAAGAACTACAAGCACTGCATGCAATGGTGAAAGGTGAGGATGAGACTGGCCTTGTTCTGGAAGGTGAGGACTTTGAGTCTGGAGACCAACAGGTGCTGGAACATGCCACTGGAACAGAAGCTCCTGCAGAACCCCTCATAATCGAGACTGAGGCAGACAAGATGAAAGGTATGTATAATTTTCGGTCTCAATCGATGTTATTAGGGAGATAATGACACTGATATTTGTTTGACCTTTCAATTATTACTAGTCTTTTCTGGTCTTGTACCTGATAAACATGGTCGTATTGCGATCATGGTACCTTTGTCTCTGGGAACTGTTGATAACTACCGCAAAGCTTGTATTTATCTCTGGAAGCTTCAAAACCAAAGGACCACCTTGTGCCCAAATCCTGCGCCTAACCCACGTACCGATGGACCTTTGGATGATGCCATCAACGCCTATGGTGTTCGTCTCGTCTATGACAAGGCTACAACTGGAACAACAAGGAACACAGCTTGTGACACACGCGACACATATGACGGTAATGACAACTAAACACCATGAAAGCATGCCCTACCTTTTCACAGCAATCTGACATATCTCCCTTCTTATTATAAGGCCACAAGCTGATACGTATGGCAACATACACCTGGCAACAACAGCCTATACACCGAACCAAAGGAGTCCGCAAATACAAGTGCATCACCCGGTTCCCCCGCATCCGTGAGCGTCTCTGCATTCTAGCTCGGCACCATATGCTCCTCAGAGATGAGGACATCCGGAACCTCAATCTGTCTGATGTCTTTGCAACGCTCAACCGCAAGAACGCCCATGGATCGACGTGGGCCTGTGGACTCACGTTCTGTCTACGACGTGGAAAAACAAACAAGAAGGGCGCCATGCTCTACGCCACTACCTTCGGCCACAAGGACTTTCGTCGCTATACTGTGGGAGCATTTGCATTTTACATGCTCGAGCGGTTCATAGTATGTAAAAATATTTGTTTACTAGCTACTTATTGTGAAATGCACCCAACTTTAACGGACTTTATTTCTCCTTTTTTTCCATACTAGATCAACAAGGAAAGCCCTTCCGATTTCTCAGATGTAGACAAGTGGAAGGACATCAAGGTCCTTGTTGCCAGTGATGTCCCATCTGTGCCTGATCCTGACCTCAGCTCCGTCACCAACAGTGCCGCGCAAATCGAGGCAGAGCTAGAGCATGAGCTTGCTCAGGACAAGCAGGACAAGGCACGCATTGACGCTCTCACAAGCAGAGCACAACAACAGGCAACTGCCGCTGTAATGCGTGCCTGTGAGGTCTTTTCAGTAAGGCTCACCCACGCCGGTCGCCATGCAGGCACCAAGGAGGCGTTCAAGCTAGGACTTGGTATCCAGGATATCCAACATCTCAGGCGATGGGTGATGAACCAGATGATGAGTTTCTATGCTCCCAAGAACCCTATCAAAGGTGCATATTTTATGGCGCACTTTAATGGCACTGATGAGCCCTATATCCTTGAGCGTGACCTCGTCCCACCACCTCCAGAGCTGCAAGCCATGTTGTTTGGCTGGATCGAGCAAGTTTTGATGGACATGATGACAGTGTTGTTGAGGCCTGGCACGAGAACTGCATGGAGGAGATGACAGGGTACGACCCAGACGAAGTCCGTGAAGATGATGTTTTCTTTGGGGCCAAACCCAATATCCCAGCAGCACAGTCAGGACTCGAGCAAAGTGCGCACACAGACAAGGTTGCATTCCTGAAGCTTATGGTGCGCATGCGGCGGGTCATCATCCAAGACGCCGTTCTTTGCCTGCAGCCTGTACCTGGAATTGGCAGGACCCTTTCGAACAGTTTGATTGAAAAGCCGCCTGAGATCTTCCAGAACCAACTGTTCC